GGGGAAACAAAAAAAAACCCCTTCCACTTTCAAACAACTTCTGCGGACAAATGTATTGAAGGAAGATGGAGAAGTGTATTTGATCTTACCCAAACATTTGACACTGCCCACTGCGTAGGCTGAAGCAGCCCGAGGCTTGTTAGTGACCAAGGCCAGCTCCCCGAAGTACTGACCCCTGCTACAGCGCGCTATCTCCACCTCCGCATTGTCTGCATGGTCTGCCTTCGTCTGTACGGTGTTAGAGGAGGGAAGAGGATGAAAGGTTAGCAACCAGCGAGTGTATCACAACCGCTTCCCCCCCCCCCGAAGCAAGAGAGGCACTAGGCAGCCGAGCCGACAGTCGTGATTCCCTCTGTTGCTTGGCAAAACCATTTTAATGGGGAGTGTGGGTTGTCATTGTCAAAATGACTCACACAGAAACAACCTGGTTGACTGCTCTCGTCAGCTGAGACAGTGGCTTGGGTTTGAAAAATACATTTGCTTTCGCAACTTTGCACACTGTATGCTAAACAAATAGATTAATATAATGTATGCTAACAGACTTTAGGGATCCCGAGAGTTGTGAAAAGCGTTTGTCGAAAGCATCAGACCCTTTTTTTGCAGAGAAACTATAATTGCCTCAACTCTTTGGTAAACAGAAAAGAGGGATATACAATATTTATTCAATCTAGAAATCAACCAACTGAAAGCTGTGAAACGCAAACTCCACTTACTTTACTCTTCATCATGATCTTGACCTCCCCAGATTCTACAATGTAGAAGCAGTCAGCACTGTCTCCCTGTCAACAACAGATAGAGTTAAGTACAGTCGCCGTGTTTACCTGTCATTGTATCTGTGGCTCAGTGAAGTAGATACATTGTCTTTCTTCTGAATTCATGGTTCATGTGCCTTTATTTTAGCATAACCAAAACGTTTATGTCTCGGTGTTATATTGTAAACGGATGAATTGGGGAAAATCGCATTTCAATTATTTTTCAAAGTGATTCAGCCCAAGTCCAGGTTCCAGATGCCTTGACGTAACATGGCAGGTAAGCAACCATCATGCTCGGCCTGGATGAGGTCGAATGTGAGGGGGCTTACCTGTGTGATGATGCGCTCACCATCTGAGAACTGCTTTGCCCCTAATACATCCACAATCTTCATCCTCTCTGTTGCCTGCACAGATTTAATGCGGTGGGTGAGGAGTTGAGGGAAGATAAAGAGAGAAATGCTGGGAACGGAATTCCGTCACTCATGCAAACACGTCTCTGTCTATAGACCTTTTTACCTTGACGACACACGCGCTCGCATGCTCGGATGAAACCACAGCTAAACAAATGCTTGTGATTGACCGAGGCAGAATGACTGGAAAAAGAGGGGAAATAGCTAAAGTGACAATTTTAGCCGTCTCCTTTATCACCAGTTTGTGTAAAATATCAGGTGAAAAGAAGTGAGTCACATTGTTTCAGAGAAAGGCGGAATGCTGGCCATTATTTACATTTCAACCGCTAAATTGATTCAAAAATAGAAGCGGTGGAAATTCAGACATTGTTAACCTGACCGCTGAGAGCCCGGCTAATTCATTTAGCTTTCTGTTGCCCGGACGAGGCTAATGGCACAGATGTGGCTCCTCTTGACACTTGAAGACAGACGCACCGCAGAGCATGGCGTTAACAAGCAGGCGAGCCACTCTGTTGGCGCCTATTGTTTACCAACGTTATCACAGATTTATTGACGTTCTACTCTTGAACTCACCTCCAGGGACTTCAGTAAGGGTACAGACTCAATAAAAGATTCATACATCCTTCGCTTCTTGGCATTGTTCTTCACAATGAGTCGACGAAATGTGGCACGATCCTAAAGGGGGGAGGAGAGACAAAAAAAAAATCATCTAAGAGCATTCTCAAAAGTGTCTGACTTGTCTTTCCCTGTGTGCCCACAAGGGGGGGGGGACAGCAGAGCACCTCCTCCATTCAAGAAGAATTTCATTTCATTCTCAAGGTTTAACGGGCCTCACTATCAGTGCATTGAGAACATACAGTATGTTGAGGCTGCTACTGGACAATTAACAAGGAATTCGACACATGATGACCCGGATTGGCATCACAATATTCTCCTCAGACACATCATCAGCTTCATAGCTACAAAGGCTTCAGTTTGGAACGATGGCATATGGAGATGCTCTTACCAGGCCCCATAGCGACCCTTCCTGGGTGGCGATGATGGTGGCCGCGCGTGGTGTGTTGTACATGAGTGCCAGCTCCCCGAAGCTGCCCTTATTGTCATACTGACCCACGCATGTGCCCGATACCACAATGTCATACACGCCCCTGGAGATTGAGAAATCAAACAATGAGAGAAATTTTGAATCAGTCCATGCACAGTAAAAGAATATGATTAAACTAATTTAGACCAAAAAAATATATATATATTTAAATCAAGTATTGCACCTCAGACCTTCGTCTACAGTATAAAACAAGTTTAGGAGATTCCAAAGTTCGATGCAATATTTTTGGGATACAGGATAACTGTTTTTTTTTTTGGCAAGATAAATACTGATAAACGAAACGTTCTGCTTCTCCAAACCAACACCTTTTTGGGTGTACGACAAATAGACAGCTGCATACCCAAAAATTTGAATACTGTATCGAGGTAAGTCCACTTGTTTCAATGAGTTTCAAAAACTTTAACTTGAAGGTTATATTAGTTCAAGACAAAGTGAAATATTTCAAGCCATTATTTGTTTCAATTTTGATGATTATGGCAGAAAGACAGAAAAATAAGGAATCCAGTGTTTAAAAAAAAAAACTAGATTTATTCATGTGACCAATAAAAAAAGGTCCTTAAAGGGGAAGTCAATCCCAAAATGTCCTTTATAATAAAAAGTCTGTGCAACCCTACTTACGAGTACAAACATGACATTCTGATTAATATTGCATTTGTGGAATATGAGTTAAGCAGTAAAATCAGCTCCAGCTCACTCACAACCCTAATTAGGATAAACAACAGGCAAAATGTATGGATGTAGCGTTATCTGGATTCCACCGATTAGCAGTAATCCAAGTGTACCAAACCGGAGTACTTCACAGAGCACTCACTAGTCCGAGAATCCAGATTTCAAGTCTGAATGCATCCGTAGAGGATGGAACATTTATGTTTGTTAACAGTGCTGGTCACACTCTGGGATAGTATGACTTGGCAGGCGTGCTGCTGCTGTTGCTAAAGGTCATCGTTACACATGTCGCGCAGAGAAAACACTGAAAACAAAGATTTGGGTCGTGTGTATGTAGATATGAAGATCCCAATCAGTGGACTCTCACTGCACTGCACTGATGAGTAATTAGAGGTCGCGGTGGGGGAAAACAATAACCTTTAAAACCTCTGGTAGTTCTTATTTTGCTCATTTGGCAAGTGCTCCACCCTTAACTTTTTTTTTTATTTTTTTAGTAGACCGTTAGGGGCCTGCACAGTGTCACAATTATGGTCTGCATTAATCTTAAAAGGGAAAACGGAAAAGTGAGGCTATTTGTATCTTTACCGCTCGATGACGTAAAAGTTGTCGCCATCGTCTCCCTGGTCAATCACATGTTCTTGGGGCTGAACCCGTAATTCAAACATTGCGTCCAGCACTTCAGAGAACTGCTCCTAAAGTGAAGATGAGAAGGACAAGAAGAAGCATGTCAGACCCTTGAAAGGAAAAAAAAAAGAAAGACGAGAAGCAAGGCGCAACAGTGGAATTGAACTAGAAGCTAAAAAAAGGCACATTGCTCATGTGAGTAAGGCCCCTGGAGGGAGGCAAGCTAAAACTACTTTATCTCAAGGAGGGGATTTGGTGAAGAAAAGAGAGAAGCCACTTTTTGTTCGCATGAAGTGACATTTTTCCATGTTTCACAAGAACACGCAATCTAATGACAATCATGCCATCCCTGGGGTACAAGCAAATATCATGTCAGAGATATATATCACTGTGATAACCACTGCGGATCGCAGCGTGGAAAATACATTCTCATTCCAAGGCAGATGCAAATAAATCGAGGGCATGGACTTTACATGACACATTTGGAATTTTGGGAAAATCCCACACATGGGTGGATATCGGGAGTTTTACTACGCCATCAATAATAAAAGACAAATAACAGAGAAATGGGGTTAAGGGGCCTTTTCTAATCAGTGTGCGCGCATGCCAAATCATCCTTCCCATTCTTTACCTGGTCCAGTGTTTTGAACAGCAAGATGTCCCGACAGGCCTCCTGCAGTCTGCAGCGTTGTTCGTCTGTTTTTGGATGAACCACTCTGGGTTCTGTGTCCTCGTCATCCTCATCTGGATTGAATGCCTCCGCACACACTGGTCGAGGGATACGCATATTTGATTAGATTGAACTATAATCCACAATGTCAATTACTCCAGAAAATAAGATTCAGCATACATATTTGCTTTTGATGTGTGCACAGTCAACTGACATCAGGTGACTCTGGAAAGGTCACGCAAAGAAACATTTGCACTGAATTAGTCTTCTTCAATCTCACTTGCACATTCCTGGACTTTTTTTTTTTTTTTAAATTATAGTGTTACCTCTCTGGACTTAAGTGACCAGCAATGACTCTTTTGTCTGTTCCTGTACAATGACGGTTGAGACACATCTCATCTTAACAAATGTATATATAACGTGTATAATTTTTGCTGCTCACAATGGCCTTGTAAGTGGATGTGTCCCAAAACGGGTTTGGCAGAAGGAGGAGGAGAGCAGCGTAAATCAAATCACATCTTAACAGATGTCCTGTTTTGTATAAGAGTAGGTTCTTCCGATAGCAAAGGGAATTTTCCAAAGCAAGTCGTTTTCACCACCTCGCCATTTCACAACGCTTTGAGCGAATCGATAAGGATTGGTTGCTGGGACTTTCTTTTCCCGGTCATTTTTGTGGCGTCACGTGAGAGGGCTTCTGTCCACTTCTCCTTACGCAAATATAGAAGTGTCTGCGCACAAGCAAAGCCAATCTATCAAATTACTACGCAGCTGATACTAATATTTTTGAACATGGATGGCAGAAAATCAGGGGAGCGCGTACTGGTAATACATGAGTACAAAGTTAAATTAGCATTTTTAAGGGTGATTTTGGGGGTGGTGTATAACATATGATTATGTCCCATTCTCCAGAAATTACGAAGTGAGTCGAAAAAAGAAATTGAGGTTTAATGAACACAGGGCACAGATACTACCGTCTTGGTACGAATCTGGTGATTCTGATTCCTAACACGACCCATGAAATTCTATACGCGTCCACTTGTAGACTAGTTGTTGCCATATGTAGGTGACAGGCCATTAACACGGCCACATCTAGAAAAAATTCCCCTGGCGATAACATTATTACTTTATCTTAATACAGTACATTAGTTTTGATTTTAAAGTGGCCTCAAATGAGCCATGCATTCACTTCAGAAAGTGGCCTTGCAATTACCGCAAACCCACTAGACACCACTTCTAAATACGGCTGGATTTTATGAATGTATGATGCCATTTTTCAAGTTACAGAGGATGTGAAGGCAGATACCCCTTTTCAATAATTCCACTAGATTAGACATTCGTAAAATAGACCACAGCTGAACAACCATCATCCGGGTCATGGAATGATACAGGTTTCTGATTAAGAGGGGCATGATAAAATTGATATTAGATTTAGAAATTGGTTTTTTTGCTCTTTATTGCATGAAAATAATGTATTATAAAGCTATGTTGGTTGAAATTATTGAGGCATATGTTTGTTTTGTTTTACTTTTTGCTGAGAGGAACCTATAAACAAAAACTACTGCAAATACTACAAGTTTGGCCGGACATATTTCTTTTTTTAAATTGATTGCTCATTTAAAATTGAAAAGGTGAGCTCAGAACTTGTGACTGTGTTGTTCTACCAATACAGGTTTAAAAAAACAGAAAAATAGTCGAATTAAAACCACACTGCCGGCAGCACGCCTTTGTAAAGCTGAGGAAGAGACAGCAGAGTCATGAGCAATGTTGGGACAGTGGTAAAGATAAACATCAGCTGACACACCAACAGCCTAATCAAAGTGCAGCTTGCCACCAAGTCAATTAGGCGTATGTAAACACTAGACAGAACAATGAAATGAGAGGAAACAAGAGTACCACTGACAAAAGACAACTGACACCAACAGTGACACAAAACGCCAAACGCACGACACTGGCACTGATAGTTCACAGGCACTGGACTGATAATTATGCAATTGTTTTGTTGCCTTTATACACTGCCGCAATGGATTAGAGATAAGATTGAAGTGCAGACTTTTAGCGTGACATTTCTTCACGTTGAGGAATTACACCCATGTTACGCTGCATGCAACCCATTTTTAAGTGTTTGTACAAAGCTGCTACACGTGTACATTCATTAAGGCGACTCGTGATTGTACATTTTGACTACTGTATAGCGGCCTACTGTATAGCGGCCTACTTCGCGACATGCGAAAGGAATATTCTTGAATGATGATGTCAGCGATTGTAGAGCACGCATTTTATTTACTGGATGTGGCTGAAGACCACCATCCAGAAGGATTTGTTGATGGCTTCTGGCTACAGACTTGAAGTACTCATTGCCTTCAAGATCCATCCATCCATTTTCCGATCCGTTTATCCTCGCAAGGGTCGCGGGGGGGGGGGGGGCAGGAGCCTATCCCAGCCGTCTTCGGGCAGTAGGCAGGGGACACCCTGAACCGGTTGCCAGCCAATCGCAGCTCTTAAAGATTCACAACCTACATTAAAAATTTTATATTTATATTTTCATGTGTTGACTGTCAAAATACTGTCCATTGCCCCTGAAAAGGGGAGGTACTCTGGATAAAATTGAGTTTTTGTTTTGTTTTGTTTGTTTTTTTTTTTTTGGTCATCACTTCAAATTCACGGTGATGCTTTATCAAGACAACGATCCTAAAACCTGTCATTGGCCAAATATTTCTACAGCTACCTGCAATCAGGCTGTGCAGACAACCGATGCATATAGACCAAATGTGACAAAATAGGAGCCAGTGACGGAGGCCGTCAGTTTTATCTGCAACTTGTGTTGGACGTGCATGCTCAACACAATATGTGTGCGCACCGCAGTAGGGCCTGTTATGCAATGAAGTATGCAGTATCATAGTCCGTGTGAATAGCCCTTAAGGGACATGATGTCAAAGATACAATAGTGAACCCGCAGGCACGCACTCACACAGGAATCTCACCTGACACTCTTCTGTTGAATCTGCTTGGTGGCGGGGCTGCAAAGAGACAAGAATGGGGAGGGGCAAATGAATATCATTTGAGTTTATAGAAACGAATATGATGACTTTTTTTTTTGGTTTGTTGTACCTGGGTAATCTGTTTTTAATGAATATACAATGCAATTCTAAGGGAAAATTAGATTTTTTAAAAAAAGCAATAAGAGGGCTGAAAAAGCAGATGAGTCAGAATGATACTGGCTAAAGAGAAAGATTAAAAAAAAACCCAAGTTGAATACATAGCGGTAAATAAAAATGTAACACCTGTCAGAAAAGGTCTTAATGCTGGTGACGTGCTCTGACGGCAACAACTAATTTCATTCTGATAAAATACCAAGGTTATTCTTCAGTGGCTTCACGGTCTCATTAACAGATGGAATTCACACTCGATGGGACCCTCCCCATCCCATAACCCTGTACTGGATAAGTGGTATAGAATATTGATGGACCGAAAATTATCACACTCAATATTCAAAGTTGACAGTGGACAGAAAACTGGAGCACAGGGGGACTTGTAGGGGCTGGGGAACAGTTTTTGGAGTTTTGTTCCAACACCCATACTTGTGAATAGGTATCCCCTTAGTGGCAGGCACTCGGATACCTGTTTCTATTCGAGCGGTGTCCATTATTTGAGGAAATGCAAATTTCGAGCTCGTGGCTTGCGTGCTGCTGCACCGTTGACCGTAGTATTCATCGGGCTGTCTGAAGGGGACACTGCTGGATATGAATATGCATCAGGAATAATAAAGAGGCCATTCAAAAGAGTGTGCAGGATATATGTGTGTGTGTGTGTGTGTGTGTCTGTCTGTCTGTGGATACATATATGTGCATTGATTTGACAATTTATTTGTATATTTCCTTCAAATGCCTTTTTGTATTTGGGCGAGTGTGTGTAAAGTTAGCCAATTAACTCACATGATGAGTAAGCCAACACCCGCTTGATAATGCCGAGCTTGTTGCAGGCGGCTGGCCGGGGGTGGGGCGGCGTTGCGACACACGTTACATAGACACACATTAAGAATGTGCCGCTACCGTATTACCGTCCTGTCAGAGCCCATTAGATCGAGACTGTGAAGCTCAGTGACTGGAAGATAATCATACATACACGCCACTTTCCTCACTCACGATTTCCTCACTCACCTGAGAAAGAATTGTGAAAAGACACTCTTTTCTACTATTTGTCATAATGTTCATACTACTATTGCACATGTAAGAGGCGAACGAGATTCACCTTCATGGCAATGATCCGATCACCTATACGATGCTGGATTACGGGCGGGGTGAGCAAGGATCACCCATGTTTTTTTTTTTTTTTAATTGTGAAAAGGAAATATGCATTTATGCATTTCACAACCATTTGGTTAGTTGAAAAGTCTAATTACTTTTGCTTCAAACTGCGCTGTTAACATTGCACAATGCCTGAATGAGCATGACACAACAACAACAAAAAGCCATCAAAATGGCAAACAAACATGACTACCTTGTCCAACTTCACAAATGAGTTGAGTAATTTTACACCAGCGCACCTGCCATCACATCAATTAAGCCTCTCCAATTTTGCTTTCCCCCTAATTGCCCAACTATCTCATAGTGCTTTTCCATTCTTACAAAATAAACAATTGTGAAAACATCCCTCATGCTTGAACTCCAATGCTTTTTTTTTTTGCACTTGCGCAAAAAAAAAAAAAAAAAAAAAAAAAAAAGACTTGTACAGATGATAATCTTTTTTAGGTCATACAGGATGTTGAAATACAAAATATACTACTGGCACTGTGGAAAAATACCCTGTCTTGTGTTGAAGTCTGCTTTTTTCCTAATACTGCACGGAGCTACTAAAGAAGAATTCATTAAGCACCGAGCTGCATGTTTCTGGAGGAAAAAAAAAATGTTCAGCGTAGACATTGAGTCCTAGAGAGAACAAACATGAGTTATGAAAATTAAAGTCACCTGACCGCCACTCTGTGTTCAGGCCTGGTGCTGAACACACGTTGTATATTGTCTCACATGAATGCAGTCCGGGAAATATTTTTGATCACGTACGCACGTGTGTGTGTGTTCAGTTGTGTGGGTGCATGAGTCTGCGTGCACCAAGTGTGAAGCGCTCTCCCCACAGTCAGACGGTTTGTGTGGTGCTGGTGGCAGTGTGGCGATGCTAGTGGCTGTATTAAATGTACGGCTGAAGTTGCCTTGGCAACCTAACACAAAGAGGATCTCATTGCCATAACAACCATACCCCGTTCACCCTCCCCTCGTCCTTTCTTAGCTGCATCCAACTCCCTTCTCCAATATCGAGCTTGGAACAAGTGGCAGCTCGTCCCTCCATTTCCCCCTTCCTCCTCCTCCACCGCCAACCCTCTCACAAGCTCTCGCAATCGCCCCCCCCCCCCATTCCCACCCTCCTCCCGCCCGCAGTGAACACACAATGTGCCATATCAGAACTGTTAGATGGAAACAAGATGAGGGAGCCAAAAAAAAGGCGGCGGTATGTTTACACAGATGACGAAACAAATGACTGACCAGAAGGTTTAACAGAGTGAAATATCTGGAAATGCGACACATTATATAGTAGTTAATAGCAGTAAGTTGGGACACATGAACAGTGAGCTCACCGTGGAAAAGAAAAGAGGATAAAAAAAAAACTTGAACAGTATAGCATGGTTATACTGAAGGCATGTGGACAAAGCTACACGACAAGGAAGGATGAAGGAATGACTCTAGGAAATGAAAGCATTGTGATCTATCTATCATCTACCCTTAATAGGTGACGAATCAAAGAGATGAAGTAGAGTCAAAGAAGAAACAACATATATGGAAATGAAAATGTTAGTGTCCGTTTATTTTAAAGTTGCAATCTAGCAGCGACCCCTGTTTGGGACGATCAGTTCGTTCGGAGAAAGTCTTTGTAGTACGTTGAGATCGATTCTGACACGATATAGGATGAGACAATACTGTTTCTATCGGTATCACTTGGGGGGGGGGGGGGGTTATGCTCGAATCGCTGAATTCAGGTCTCCTGGAAAGCTTTGCAAGTGCGTCTGTCTGCCTGCCTTTTCTGTCGGTCTCCACTCGAGATAATTGGAAGTGCTCAGAGGGTTGACTGACGCCTAACCTGTAACCATTCTCAACTGATACATTTGTGGTATGTACTCTGCACTTAGCTCATCAAACTTGAAATAAGGTCTGACATGCCCCATGACATAGTGCGATATATACATTTATGAGCTACTTGTATCTGGATTAAAAACATGACATCATAATCAGTCGGGCAATTTTCAATAGTCACAATGATTTCATTTGTTCTAGCAATGACTATCGAATGCAAAAAAAAAAAAAAAAAAAGACAAAGGGAATAAAGCTTTGATTGCAGGTAATAGTTCTAGCTAATGTTTGCGATTTAATGTTGATATATTACATCTATTTAATGGGGTGAATCTTTCTGAATCACATGAAAAAACATTGTAACACACACTCCTTTGTTTCTCTGCATTTAACTCATCCCTTGGGACCACCCCAGTAAAATGCCTAGCGTTGTTATCACTTCTTACAAGTCGAACAAATTTGCATTTGCCTCAAGGACGGAGTAAACAAATAGTTCAACGGTACATTAGGATCATTGAGCGGGCAATGAGACAAATATTTGCAGGGGTAATGCCTTCCTTAGACGTGTTTCTTTGCAGCGGCTGTTTGAATCATATGACAGCAAGGCGGTCCAACAAGCGTTTTAAAAACAGTTCTAAAACAGAGGGGCGAGAATACGGAAAATGTGGCTGGGAGGCCTTAAGACTTTTTTTGGACTCATTTCGTTCATCATCTTAAACGTTCTGCATTAGCTATTCCCCGGCAACATTAAAAAAAAAAAAAAAAAAGATATCTTGTTCAACAAAATGAATAATGCCCAATCGCTGTTTGGTGTGACAAGATGTTTAAAATGCACTCATCAACCATTGGGATTGAGCGGTCACCAGCCGGGAGGGGCTCCAGGCCCTTGGGACCCCAATGAGCTATGGGCTGTCACAAATAAGGGTGGGAGACATTCCCACTTGTTTACTGTGTTTATCTCCTTCCCAACGACAGACTGTGTCTTATGCTCCCGCCCACTCAATCTCCACTGGTCACTTATCACGCTCATCGCCTTTCCCAGTGGCTCACTCCAACCGCAACCACAATCTCGAGAAAGTTTGGGACCGGAGGAAATGAACACATCTCAATCGATATGACTTTTGCGTTTTGGATCATGAGTTAGTTGGGTGGGTGGCACGGTGTACAAGCACTTATTTCATCCCTCTCATCTTCAATTGGGAGTTTGAATCCACGTTCCTGTGTGGACTTATTTGCATGTTCTGCCTTTGCTTGCACGAGTTGTCTGCAGGTCCCCGGGTTTGCTCACATATTCCAAAAATATACATGTAGGGTTATTTGAGACTCTAAAATGTCTTTAGGAGTATGAATGGATGTTTGTATTTGAATTGCAAATGGCTGACAACCAGTCCAGGGTGTACCCCACCACTCGTCAGCTGGGAAAGGCATCAGCTCATTAATAAGGACAAGAAGTTGGATGATCGGTCGGGCTCGAAATCGCAAAAATTTAAATATGTAAACGGATAACGTCTTGTAGAGCACAAACATGAATTATCTAGCCTGCTCTGAAATAATACATTGATGGTTTGAAGAACTGCGCTTTTCATTCGTTTGGATTCGAGCCCATCTACATGCATGCATCACCTTTATAATGCAAGGCTGCATTGCTGCAACATTTCTAAATGAATTATTTCAAGTCCTCTAGTCATGTCCATTATGCAAGCTTCTCACTGATAACTGGCAGGAGGAAAGATTGCATTGATAGCACAAGTCTCGGTCAGAGTTTACGGTAGGACTTTGGTTTTCAAGGCCAAAGTGGGATCCCAGTCGTCAAAAACAACAACTTGCTGTTCTTATCACGTGTTGCTTTAAAGTGAATTTAAAAAATGTCATGTTGTTGTTAGGCGGCAGCAGAGAACTCC